CTGTACGAGTGTGTGTGTATACGTGTGTGTATATGTATGTATGTATATATAATATATATATATATATATATATATATATATGTGTGTGTGTGTTTGTGCGTGTATATATATATGTATAAATTATTATATTATTATATTATTACATATATATATATATATATATATGTATGTATATTGGCCCCACAAGGCTATTAAAGAATACTTCGATACTCTTCTATATGTTGCCAAATAAAATGTGGAATGTAGTCAATCAAAACTTGCGGTGGGGACTTATTTACATATCTATTTTTTAGGGTTTCCGGTCTGTTTATGTCGATTATGTCTGTCAGAGGATATAGCACGATAAGAAAATTGATAACTAGCATTTTTTAGATCCGTTTCATCTTCAGTTTGTGTTCAGATATACGATTTGTTCTGAATGTATTTATGGTTCTTGTCACCGTACCGCTCTTTATATGGAATCGCTACATGTGTTTCATTATCGGCAGTCAACTACCGTTGCACTAACATAGGCACCTCGTTCCATGTCTTGCGTATGCTATTGCTTGTTTGCAATATTTGAACTTACTATTATCAAGTATCTTTTATCGCTCACAAATTCTCCACTGTGTTGACAACACCTTATTTATAACATGCCTCCGTGATCCTCGCGGAGCACGAGATCCAAGATGGGATTGTTGATCCTTGAGGTCTCGCTCTCGAGAGAGCAAGCCGTCTAGTCGATAAAGTAGAAGGGTATGTCGCTTATAAGATCGAAATCTTGGACATGTGTTCATCTCACACACTAAAATTGACAGTCAAGGTTCCGGCCTGTCAATTGCATTAGTGGTAGTTCTGTCGCACTGTCACAGACTGTCGCCAACAAGTTAAATAAAAATGGTGTGGCACAGTGCACACTGCACAAACGGTATTTTGATCTCCTGACTCCGGACTCCAAACTCTAGATCTAGACTGAGTTATTTCATTTGCCAACTAAATGCATAGCAAATACCAGATAAAATCAAAAGTGGCTATTTTTTTAAAGCCCTCCCGAGTCCCGGCTCCCGTCCCTCCGGGCTCCGGCACTGCATGTTTATTGTTTCATGAAGGCTCAAGGCTACAAATGGACTATGGAGTAAATATTTTATTTACTATTGTTTTTTTTTCGGAAAGACAAACAATTAAAAAACAATAAATCACGACTTCGGGGGTTTTTTTTTGCGACAAACAATAGTTATTGTCTCCGAGTAGATTTGTTTTCTACTATAAATATAGTTATGCATTACATACAAATTTACTTGTTATTTCTACTATTTTTATTTCCCCAGCAGCTCCTGTTCTATTCTTTTTATAAAACTTAAGGCGAAAATCCGCTGGGATATATAGAAATGTGTACATATGCGGTCGTCCTTCGGGCAATAGTCCGATCAGGCATATTATTTTTATTTCTTCTCTAGTGGGTTATGTGCGGTCACAAGCATTCTTCAGGCCCTGTGTGATATTTTCTTATACAGTATCTGAGCCTCTCTGAAGTTACGGGGTATATCTAGGTGAGCCAAAATAACAGTCATGAATACGATTATGAGGGCACACTGTCCATATGTGGTGTCAGATGTGCTGGACTGCTCCTTCAATCCTGAATAATTTCTTGGTAATCTGGTATGTAGTCCGCAACTTCAGTAACATACAAAATTGAATATACTATTTTGCCCTCGAAAGATTGGTAACCTATATAGTATGTCTACTTGCATTCGGTAATGAGATGAATTACTATGAAGAAGAAAAAATTATCTACTGAGGGAGCACTGAGGGAGCAAAACTTGCACAATAGAATGACGCGCCAATTCACACCATTATATTCAAAAACTATTCTTGCACTTCGATTCTGACACACTAGCAAACATATCGAATCTAGTTGTGCCAGTAGCGAGCTATATATACAAAAGACCTCAAATTTAACACGAGTTGAGGATATACAATCAATCCCACTGCAGTTTGGCACTGAGTGCCAAATGATCTGACAGGCGGCTGATATCATCTCGATCGTTATATTCAAACGGTTGGACCGCGATGTTCACGGCACTGAGTCCCGTAATAATGGGGAGAAAGGGAATGGTATATGAATTTGACGAAACAATATCGAATATAGTACACTGTACCGTACGCGACCGATGCCCAGAAACGTATCAGGTAGCAAGCAGTTGCGCATCGCATATACCACAAAAGAAAGACAAGTCGATCTTATACTTGTGCCAAACTATCCTGCATCGGTTCACGAGTGGCAAACGATGATTCAGAACTACAGTAGACATGTCCGAATCAATATCTTGATTTACACACAACATTTACTGACCTGAATTTCCCTTCGGTGCCTTGCGATGTCATTATGTAATCTAAACGCTTACTACAGCTAACAGGTTTTGGCTTTGACGCTCCGAATTTTGGCACATTATACTCATCTCCTCCGGTGATAATCTGAGTAACGAGGTTGAAGCTAACATAATAAATTGAAGAGGAATACATCAACCTAGTCTTAGTATTGAATGATTTCGCCAACTCACTGTTAGTGTAAAATGATTCAGTCTACAACCATAAACAGCCTTTAAGGTACATTTGTAGGGTCGGTCTGACAAAATTGTAAACACATCCCTGAACGTACACACGCAAAATGTCACTCACGCCATAATTGTAACATAATTTTGTCTGGAGTACGGATAACAAAACTAATATTCAAATTTGCGCGTACCTGACGGCCGTCATTGGCCCTTCTCAATACATCGATCCATTCTCGCCCATCAGCGCTGTCTGATCCAAAGAGACTCATCATGCTGAGGTATTCCTGCAAAGCGGCGGATGATAAACACACAGTGTTTACAACCGCGCGCGAGACTGACCTTCCAGGGCAACAGTTATTGCCATGTGTGTGTAGACCTTTCCCAGCTACTTTATGTTTATGTCTACTTGAAATCGTATACGTGTATATACGATTACCTGTATCTTTTTATAAATTTTGTTATAAACCTGTGAGTAGAATCATTTGCACCATGGACGGGTCCATGTGACGTTGACAAAACTATTCGTTCACAAATATGTTTACATAACAAACTTCATCCACAATACTCACCGGACCGTCTCGATCATCACTCCGGGAAACTCTTCCATTGACATTAAAGTCTCCGGCTATGACTATATGATTCTCAGTACCCGAGTGTCTTTTCACAAAGGCCAGCATCTCCTTAATTTGTTTGTATCTCACACTTGTATACCTGAATGGAAATCAGAAATTTTATAAAAAAATCAATAGCAATAACGTCACATTCTGCGCAAGCAAACTTTATACGTTGTCTATACTGGGAGATTATTTCGCAACGTGAGGTTCCGGGTGGAGCCATCCCTTACGTAGGCGTCCGATACTGTCGAAGAAATCATCAGGAAGGTTCACGAAAATTGCAGAGTGTTGCTAGATATAACAGTTTCGTGGCAAACTGATAATGCCTAAAGGGACGTAGAATATAGCACAAAATTTGTAGCATACCTGTCGTCTTCTGCGTCATGCGCCTGCATGTGTGTGCTATACACGTCCACCGACAAGGGATTTCCGTCAGCTTGCGGTACCTTTGACACCACAAAAAAAAATTGTTTCAGTTATTGAAGGTATAATGTATACCGGAATAATCATGGCGCAACCTACTACTAAGAAAATCAGACCATGCTATCGTAAAATTAACTCATACCACATCCAGTGCATAGCCAGAACATTACAAGTTCAGCAACTATCTAATGTATATTTACCTTATAGTTGTATATACAAAATACCTGTACACGTGCAAGAAGGATGCCTTTGGATGTCCACACATCCGCCGTGAATAAGTATGCATCACTGTACACGAAGAAGTCAGAGAACTCTATCGGATATCGGGATACTATCGTCACCCCTCCGTCAATGAGTTTCGGTGGAAAATACCCCAGTTGGTAGGGAAGGAAGACTGTGAATGTTCCAAAATGATGTACAAAGCTTGAGAAAATTGGAGGATTGTATACCTGAATGTTTTGCAATTTTTTTCGTGCACGGAATGCATGTATCGGGCGAAATTTGGTGGTGTACACGATATTATTCTACCTCTGTAATGTATATATATCATCATCCACGTGACGTCTCCCGGTCATATCGCGTGCGACATAGTGACAAAAAAATGAATCTTCGGTGTACAGAAGCATCGTATAAACCTTCAAATATTACACCGCCTACGATGCTTGTAGAATGTCACAGAAAAATTGAAAAAACATCTACGCGCAGCACTATTATGAATTCAGACTTTGGCATAATACATATGCGAGAGGAATTTCGGGAGGTTCAAGTATGTACAACATGTATATGCAATAAAGCACATTATTGAATGCTGACATTGTGCTAAAGCAATACTTACCAGAGTAGCCAAGACCATGCTTCGCTAAATCACTCAAAAGCCTGTTTCGTCGATCGGAGCCTGTCCCGAACAACTCCTACCGTGAGCATATACGAGACGGCAAAAGTAATCCATGGAAGGCACAGGGTATGGTTAGTGATCATAGAATCACTGAAGAGTGAGTCATGATATACTTCAGTCCTATATCTTCTGATGACGTACTATAGTGTCTAGTGCACCTGTTTCATTTAGGTGGATATCAAATAGAATTCAGCAGTTATGCATAGAGATAGAGCCCTATTAGAATTTGGCTTAATCAGAAAACGACACAAAGCGCTGCAGACAACTGTACGCGCATGAGTTCGTGTTTAGCTGCCTGTAAACAGACATCCTTCATCTCGTATTGCTTGATTTTTCAAATTCTACAATCAAGCCAATTCTCAATCGTATCTTGAAAGCAATGCAATGGATGTAACATAATGTGTTGCAAGAAACTGATTGGCGCGTGACAATCATCGTCGCATGAACATGCGTTTCTGAACTAATAACTCCGCACACACACCTGCAAACAAATAACATCATACTCGGCAAGAACTGAGGGTAGGAGTTGCAAGCGCAAATCCTTGTAGTCAGTTCCCGCAGATTGTATTCCCGGCGGTCGTATGAAGATATTATATGTGAGGAAGCGCAGAGTCTTCTTACGACTAGAAGCAGCCTCTACATTGTACGCATCAGCTTTATCAAGGTCTCGCCTTGCATCCTCCGATATAACGTTACCTGATTAATTGTGCGCGAGTGCTAACGTTGAGTATACAAAATAGAATGTCAGGATGAACCAGGTTGACCAGGTTCTGACTTCTATTGTTCAGTAATATAATCGTGCAAACGCAAGGAGTATTCACTTATGTGGATACAAAATACCATTAGCCCCGATTCCGTGTGTCGCTTCAGCGGTAGCAACAGCATAGTACGACTGCTGCAAATCAGACTCTTGGATCGCATCTAAAAAAAAATCGGTTAAAATGAAAAGTAGGCACGCTGCAAGCCGGTTCACCCACGCTGTAGCGTTTAATGTTAATCCATCATTCGTGTCATACCTATCCACAGATCACAAGGATTAAATGACAGCAACAACTTAACCAACAAAGGCTGTTATGGAGATGTGGGAAAGGTGAAATATCGTGTATCTGCTGTACTATACAAGTGAACTATACCTGTCGTCGTATGTGCTTATCGAAACTATATCAACCCCAGAATACGACCCATCCAAGTTGTGAGACAACAATAGGTATATTCCATCGCGAGTGCAGAACAATGCAGATTGCAAATCCTGGATGAGAATAAATCGCATGCATAGAATGCACGTAGATATAAACTCTCGTATTTGACGCATCTCATTTCTAGTCGAATTCGGTATATATGTATATTATATGGGTACGAGAACGGACTGAACCATTGTGTGAATGACAAATGTCAACGCTGTAGACTTAGAATATACGACTGAATTCTTGTGTGTCTTGGTACATATGAAAGGTCCGTTTATTCCATGTAAGAGTGCAACCTATGAAGTGTGACCAATCACAACGGTAGGAGATCGCGTTTAGACCGGATATATGGCAATTCTATACACAGTTGAAGAGTTTCTCATAAATGTGAGCTTCACACAGCTGATGTCTTTTTCTGCAATTACAGTGATTTGTAAGTTGCGTTGGGCCAAATTTTCGATTACAAACATAACATACTGGAAGGTATATATTTTCGATTACAAACACGACATACTGACAGGTATGTACTGGACCATCCGAGCATTGTTCTGGTAATCCACGTGGTTCAGCCACAGCTGATATAAAAAAGCCAGCAGCACACATCCTACGATGATCCACGTGTTCATACTTGGTTGTTCGTGTCTTTTTTATACTGCAAAAGATCCTAAAGTGTACTTGTAAACTACTGAAGTACGTTACCTTTAAGAGATCAACCTTGTTTATAAATACATTGGCTTGTTGCCAGTTGCCACTGTTGATACTGTTGTGTGTGCAACAAACTGTAGAAGTCTCATCAAGATAAGGGAGCAGACCAGCTGCCCGCCAAAACTCTCGAAACACCATATCGGGAGAAAGTGAAAAAAAGCACCGCAATGAAACACGAAAGTAGGCAATTACTTTGTTTATGTATTATTTTGCGATTTCGCATCGACTCTCTTTATAGAGTGATACTCTGATAGCCCTCGGGCTGAGGCTCTGGATCATGGACACAGAAGAAGCCTATGGATTTCCGTTGGAAGTTCAGAGGATAATAGTATATTTATGTACAACTGTTTATTTATAAATATGTGGGTTTTATGTCTTCTTATCACCACTTTTGTGCATGCATAGATCTAAATATATGTACGTAGTCTCTAGTAATCCCAAGCTGTCCAGCTATTATTAGTATTGAGTACGCTAATATCGATTTTAGTACTAGTACGTGACCTGATATATTCACCATGAATGTCTTCAGACTATCTCATATCATTCACCGGACCCAAGTGCAACATGTTCGGCAGAGTGTACGCATAGCAGCAGGTGCAGCAGTGTGTTTTCCTTCATACTCTGCAGCAAATACCACAGCATACATAAAAGGAACCCGTGAGTATAGCACAAAAACGCACGCTGAGCACATCACCCCAGAAGAACCCTACATCAACTGGGGCATGTCCTGTAGCTACTTCACTCGGAAGGTATGCGTGAGAATTAAGAATGAACGCTCGCTCCTATCGTGTCCAGGGTCAAAGGAGCTCTCATCGTAGCAGATGTTTATGTCCAATACTTTAAATTAATACTTATTTTGAGTGGCTTAGAGCGTATGATTGAACGCTAGTGAATGGGTGTACTCCAATTATAACGATATAGTAATTACTGGACACCTCGGATCTCCAGTGACTGAATAACTCAATCACAACCTACTGTACATTCGCTAAATGCTGTCGTAGGCTTGACCGTTCGTCTAGACTGAAGTCAGCGCGAGGCTCGTACTGAGTGTGCTCTCATATATATAAAAGCAGTACATCCAAGCTTTAACTAACAACATTCGAAGGTCGCCATCTACCACACAGCACAAACGGTCTGTAAAAGTTTTTTGACTTATTCTATTGATAGATATTGATAGTTCCACGCGGCGCAATACAACCTCGTCTATACATCAGATGTGCACACCATCTGTTCACGAGGCATTATACCAGACTTTTACTTTCGCATCAAATCTGGAAGCTATGTAGATTTTCCTCGTTACGGGAAAGCTGCATAGTTTTCTTTCTGATTCTCTTAGTAGATAAGTGTTTGAACCTAGAGTCTAAATAAAATTGGTATGTGCAAACTTGTATTGGCCACTGTGTAAATTGAAACGTCTACAATAGTAAAGCAACAATTATGCAGTTGTCTGCTTATCCGCAGAGTGCTTGTTTGAAGATATTCCAAACAACTGACAATCCTGGACACTTTTTATATATCCACTGTTGCAGTTAGATGCAGCGTTCAAGTTCTATCCATTCCAATACGAGTTCAAATCCAAAACTCTCCGACAAACTAACAGGCTGGAGAAAGAATCTGGCACCCACCGCATACCTGTTGTGCAAACAAGCCAAGGTACGATGTTCTGTATCAATTTTGTGTTCCTGTAAAATGCTTTCCTTTTGACTTTTTTCTACTTTTTTTATTTCATTATCATCAAGATATTCTCGTGTTGTTGTAGGGTTGTCACGGCTTACGAGCGCCTATGCATATTCTGTCAAATAATAGCTGTGTGTGGAATTGATATATAGGTATCCGATATCGGCTGTGTAGTTGTCCCGATTAAATCTCATAGCAATCCACTCACTCTGTGAAATGTACCTCAGGCAAGCTCATGGCGGATACTACTGTGATCATGGATCACCTGGATACGATTCTCGTAAAGGAGGGAATGCCCGACCGACAGATGTATGGGAACAACATGAATGGAGTGGTTATTCATGTGCTCGAGGTATGAATTATAAATCACTCGATGTATTTGTATATCTGATCTTGTGCATCACATGTGTATATATTGATGTAGATGTTGTGGACGACCTCTATTGTGGTTATCATGTAAACGTATGTATCAAGGAGCAGCCCTTTGCGGTTCTGTGGTACAGAGTAGAAATTCCTCGCACTGGATATACCGCTTATATTGATCACACATCTCAAGCGAAACTCTCGCTTTGCCTGTAGGTGGCACCGAGACGTTCATTCTAACCGGGCCCATCGTTTTCATGCTACTTTTTCAGGAATATTTTGATGAATGGTTTCCAAGGCATGCGTTGCTTTGGCGATGGACAGATGAAGAGACCACAGTGTACAATCAAAAGAAAATGGGCAAGGAACTGTTACCTGCCTTCTGGGAAATGCCATTTCGTGGATTTGTAGGTACGCTAACCTTGTGTCAGTGAGTAGGGAAGCTCAAGTGTAAATTCATCGTGAGTTTCATAGCCTGCCCTAGCTCGTAGTATTGTGTTTTTTTTATTGCATTGCATAACAACTCGTTCGCGATGAGTTCCTTGCAAATCGATGGTAGTTAGTATGGCAGGTTTTATAGTTCCTGGGCTATAGCTATTGTCCTAAAATTTTCTTTTGTTCTCACTTTCAGGAAAGAAGATCAGTAGATGGGGTGTGCGTGCAATGAGAGCGACGGGTCTAGAGTTCAAACAGCAACAGCTGGATGGCAGGGAAGAGTCTCTACGCGTTTTTGCCATGATGGACAAGCAACTGCGTCAGACACCCTTTCTGCTGGGACATCACCCCTGCGCAGTAGACTGTGTGGTGTTAGGGGGAATGTGGGGACACTTTGCCAATGACCCGGCACCGAAGAAAGCGTTGAAGGAAGCTGGTTTAGACCGTCTGCTCGAATGGGGTGATGAAAACTACCAGGTATGAGAAGTATCCATGTGGAGTTGTTGATTTGTACTGTCCGGTCGAATTTGTGTCGTAAAAGTGTAGCTGCTGGAATTGTCAAATAGCGTGATATCAAATCGAGAATTCGGTACTTCCATATCAATAAGGGGGACATTTTCTCAGGATACAAGTATTTAGTACTACGTTGGTAAACCAGCTACGAGTTATTATTGACAACGCATCACTAGTACGAGAAGTCTTCTCGCCCCATAGGGTCACGTGAGAATGCCTGGGAATCGGTGATGTTCTTATTGACCCGCCAAAACTTCAGTGTATCTTTATGTCGATGCTAATACACCCTGCGGCGGTACTATACATCTTTGTTCAACTCCAATACGCCCCAAAGCTCCCATGAGAGCTTCTCGCATCATCGTAGAGTACGCACTTTGACGTCTGCATCGAACTCGCTATACATACGGATGCACTAGCTTAGTTTCCTTTTGTTTGTCACGCACCTATACAGCATCCTCCGCCCGAGGAATGGCGCCCACTCACCAAGCCGCAAGATGCCATATTTGCATGCGATCTGCTGACGGAGATGACCGAGGGACCCTTCAGGGAGTGGACACTACTTAACATGGCAGCATTGAGTCGGAGCGAGAAATCATTTACAATGAGGTAATCACGTCATACGTGATTTATGCAGATTTAGCGATGTGTTCGTACAGATATGGGAATTTACGTTGGCAGTAGCATATTGCTGGTTTGTCTGCAATGTCTGGTTGACAACATGTTCTGTCTGCTTCTGTCCATCAAGGATACATTGTTCTACTTACTTGTCCGCAGAGCAGATGCAAAAATCAGCACGGTTTTGATTTTATATTTGCGAACTTCCGCAAAGACATAAGAGTCTATTCGTAAACAAAGAGGTGCTTATTGGTTTTGCTTTTAGTCACGTAGCTCTTCGAGAGGGGTATGGTACATAAGCTTGTACACGTTCCTATGAACGATCTCGACCTCTCATAGGCGATGTACAAACAAAAAGCTCTATCGATGCTCCTTGATAAAACACCCTAACCAAAAAGGGATACTGTTTTTAAACTTCCCAACACCTTATATAGATGCTACAGTTCAGAGACTTCCTTCTTGGCCCGTTCTGAATCTGAGAAGGCTAGGCGGCGAATTAGAGATCGTGTGCGTGGCTTGAGAGGATTTTCGGCTGAAGAGCACAAGAAGGTACGTATATTTTTCTGTGCATATGGTTCAAACTTCCCGGCTTCGCTCTAAGAGTCTTCCATATATTGTTCGGGTAAACTAGATTACACATACTTCAGGACCATACTCCCGCTACCTCCTAATTAGTGAGTTCATGTCACACTCGCCAAGCCTTACTCACTCCTTTGTACGCTAATTAGAATGCATCTGACTATACTATTGTTGATCTTTTATTCGGCAGACTGTGGATTGGCTGGACAGCTGGGGTCTACTTGAACTGTACGGTGGTAACGAGTAAAACAATAGGGCTAACCCGCTGGTGTGAATGGACAAATCTGGCGTGCTATGCGTTGTCGGCTATGAGTTGTATACGTACTTGCCAATTCTGGAAATAGATTACTACTCCGTTCTATGTATTACGCATCTATATATTAAACATTAATCGTATGAGACTTGACAAGTAGAATGCGTTGTCTGCAGATATTGTGCAAGTCCTCTGAACATGCCCTGTAGCTATGAACCGACATGAAAAGTGGTCTGTATATTAATGCTACATACTACTAAAATACGCTAAATTAAAAAAATGTGTAAAATTAAGCGAAGAAAACATTCGCAACTACACAGTTGGAGGTCGAAATAGTTCAATCGTATTGTATATCGGCCACCTTAGTCTATCTCTTGTATACGAAGCGTATGCTATATGTTATCCACGAAATGCATGCTATTTACTATTGCATATTGCAAATATCGTATTCTACACAAAGCTCGCAGTGGAGACCGAAGTAAGGGTTTGAGACAGAATTGACTTTTTTTGTTTATTAATAGTTATACAGTTTGTCTATCAAACAATGATAGCCAACTGATTCGCCCTCTGACTCTCCCAACGAACATTAGCAAGTCGCTGGTACCCAAAGCCTAGCAGACTCGTGACTTAGTTAGAACCAGCGGAGACAGTCTGGTTTTTAAGTTGCTCCTCTAATTCCTTGACCTTTTCCAGTAATGCCTTATTCTCGGCTTCCACACGCTTGAACTCGGCCTCGTAGTCTATTTTACTCGTAGAGTCATTAGACTCCTCTTGCTTGGGCGCAATAACTGGCGCTACGAACTCTTTTGTAGCTGGGGTGAAGCCATCCTTCAGGCTGATGAGAATGGGGTCTGCGTTACCTCCAGCAATCCAATCCTCGGCAGTGATGGCAGAGGTGTCTCCCTTTGTATCGGGATAGAGATCATCCTATCGAGAGTGAGGTGGAGTCAATAGTGTGTGAGTAGGGTGAATATGCTGTATAAGTATTCTCTTCATGAGTTGGCCACGTGTATCCCCAACATATTAACGAAGCGATGCACTGAGGCATCACTGGTGCGCTACACCTTCGAAGTAAAGACGTAAAGATGCCGCAATGTACATTTGAATAACCGGTACACATGCCGCACACCTCGGTTTTGAAATCCACAATGAATTATCAGATCGTGATTATTCACCAAGACACCATCGTCAACCCCGAAACAATCCTGGAGAGCGCACGTCACACTGCATAGCAGTCCAAAAGCAAAAGGGTCCTGCAAGACATACCTGGAACTGGTCGCTTTTTCGTGGTACAATCATTGAGATTGGCTCTACAAGGTTCTTTGAGGTCATTTTGTAGAATCGTGCAATTTCGTGTTTGTTGATAGCACATGCACGCTTGGGCAGGAATCCGAAACCTTTTTGAGGTTCGGATGAGGTGTAGCTAGATAGCTTGTGTACGAAAGGCTTAGTCTCGTTGATCTCGTAGTAGTCGATGTTTCCATCACCCTTACCACCCAAATATAGGATGTTTAGGTCGGCATCGTATACTGGAATAATTACACCTGCACACAGAGTTTGGAACCCAAACACAAAGTCAGTCTTTGAAAAAAAAACCCCTAGAACTAGAAAAAAACCCTGCGGAACTACCAGTTTGAGGTCACGTGTGCCCTAGATCGTCTCCGCACTTGTACGATATCATGGCCGAAACAAAATCGGCTGATTCATTTTTTAGGGTCTATGCAAAACACACAAGTGTAAAGGTTGACGAGATTGTGCACAGCAGGTTCTCCCATTCAGAATGAGTCCACAATAATCGAGTGACGTATTCTAAAATTATGGCGCACTATATAAGCCTTGGCATATTTGTATACTGATACAGATCCGATCACTTGACGCATGGGACGGCTTACACTTGACACTCGTAAGCAAATGTATGCAACACACTGGCACCAACGCCATGCCTCTGACGTATTCTAACATTAAGGCGCACTATATAAGCCTCTACATATTTGCATACTGATACAGGTCGTATCTATTACGTACACTTGACGCGTGCGACAGCTTACACTTAGCACTCATAGACAAATGTATGCAAAACTCTAGCACCGACACCAAGCCTCACGTTCCAACATACACGTACCTGAGGATGTGTCGATGTTCTCCTCTTTGATTATACTGAGGTCACCGTTAAAGAGCTTGTACTGACGGTCACTGTACTTGGAGAAACCAGTGGTCAGTACCTTGTCCTCCTTACCCAACCAGGCGCACCGCGACGCCTTGGCTCCAGGGTGGCCGTCAGCCTCGTGTAGGACCTCTCCAGAGTGGGTATCGATGATTCGTACCTGTTGTGGAGCATTATGATTTTGTAAGTGCCCCGAAGTTGGCATAACAATACTCCTTATTTGACACTTAATTCAACTCCCCACAAATAGGCATATATGAAACAGAAGCTCACATTGCTTGACTTCATTCAACTTATTGCTAACTTGCGAGAGTACCCCGTGTTAACGAGTATGTGAACGAAAATAAATCTATATAGGCACCATCTACACAATAGCCGATGCTACTTTCTATCTCGTATCCAAGAGTTGCACACTGAAATAGGATTCAACCAAGCAAAGTACTTGCCAGCAACAATGCGTGCATAACATGGAATATCTGAAATGTACGATACATACGGGTAACACCCGAACCATGCTAATGAATGTATATGCAAATTCGATAATCTATGGTATACGCATTTTAGACACGGGAGCAGTACACAGTTTAAATAAATAAACATCTTCAGAATCAGTTTAAATCAATGCAAACAGTACAGGAATGTTCTCTATTTCTCGTGTATGGCACCAAAAAAACATATTTATACCTTCTTGTCCTTGCAAGTGGTGACCATCCTGCTTCCATCCCAATTGAATGACATCTGAAATACAGTGTTGGGGTGGCATTCGAAAGTGTTTACACACTCTCCAGTGGCTACGTTCCAGACCTTGATAGAGTTATCTGCCGACGACGAGAAGAGAATGTCGGCAGCGGTGGGGTGCCACATAACGTGTCCAACCTACCAATTAGCAGTGACAGCAGTCAGAATACAGCACATGAGTAAACAGTTGAAAGCAGAGCTTCTTGATTGGGTCTGCTGCAAATGAAGGCATGCTATAGGCATGCTATATATAATACAGAAATATACTAAAGATGAAGCATTCGGCAAATACCGATTACAAGGATGGAGCAATCGGGTTTCTGGTTTAGGTGACTTGATGTGCACGTATAGCGAATGTAGTCGGAGATCACACTAGTAAGAACGTGTGCACATACAGCACCAGTGTACACAGAGGGAGCACAGAACACACATTTTAGTACTCTCATGCGGACAACCAGGCCGCCAGGACGTATGCTTAAGCTAGAGACACTACTACCAGCCCACAATCGAATCTGTACGTATGTACGGTGCTGACAGCAAGCACGATGCCGCACCCAAGACACATCGTTTATTCAAACTAACGCCGTTGCTAATCAATGTGTACTCAATAAGCGCATGTAAACAGAAATATTTAAAAAAAAGACGTATATCTATGGATATACGAACACGCAGACCAAGAGTACATACTTGTGATCCCAATAGGAAGATCAGGACATGACATCCATGCCAGACAGTGTTTCTAGAACTCTAGTTAAAACTGAACATCTCATTGAGAATTTCGTTCGCATTCGAGTCGGCAGGCAACAATAGACACTCACATACATATGCAGAGTGCCTCGTACCTCTGAAAGCCGTATGGTAGCCAGCAGGATACCCAAACATATCGCGGAACAGCCAAGTACAGCTATAATGACACAATTCGTGCATGATATCACGTATGTGTGTAGCAACTTATACATAACCAGACACCCATCGGGATAGCTTAAGTATGCAATTTAGATCATAGATATAATCTGCGATCTACTTACCTTCTTCTGATGACCCTCGAGCGTAACAGCAGGGGTATCTGTATTCTCTGTGATTCCTTCCTCAGGGATTAGCCAAACCTTCACAGTGCAATCTTCGGAAGCAGAAGCCACCATGTTTGCGTTGAAAGGATTCCATTGCACATCCAGAACAGGTGCCTTGTGGCCTGAAACCTTGGGGTGGTTCATATCCAGACGCCCTATCAATTTTTAGACGTGAAAGTGAGTCACAAAATAAGTATTGTGAAAAGAAGTGACATCTGCACTGCAGGAATATCCAACGTGCTAGATAGTTGGCTATATAGAAGACAGGATAGTGCAAGGCCACCACATATCCATATACTATATCACAGAAACCAATCGTCCACCGATTTTTGCGATCCTGTGATATCTAATACTGTGTTTCACTGTGTTTTTCAGTATATGCCTCAACCATGTTTGACCGGGCATTCCATTCAGTGCGTACTAAACCATTTCTAGCACATTGAAAGCAATTATTACAGACCCAGGAATATGCTTTTGCAACCGTGTTCACCACAATAAACAAACCGATTACCGGTAGAAATGTTTCATTGGCGTGTATCTGAGTTATCTGTGTAGTTCAGTGTGATTCGTAGTGGTTGTCGACGCAGTACACAGTGGGGCAGAAAGCGGCCGACTAAATGAAGTACTCAAATTTATTTCGAGTAACTCGCTAGTGAAGTATGCATACTTTGTTAAACTGAGTCTCTTTAGAACAATAAAGGGCTTTCACATCACTATACGTTCTACTCTATGTGTAGGAAATATATATACGAGTGCACATACTTTTGACCGTGGTAGATCAAATTTGAATACCTTATAAAGTCCACACATAACCAAAAGCTGATACTTGAGCGCGTTCGACATATCCCAAAACACACTGTCGCCAGAGAGCGTATAACATATCCCAAAACACACTCTTGACAGTACTATGATAGTATCAGCTGAAGTGGGTTGATATACAACTACAATGAAAACTTACCAACTTGATCATGCTTAAGTACGGCAAAGGCTCCACCACCCGACTGCAGGCAGATGGCAACAAACTTGTCGTTCACGTCAATGAACATTGAATCGTGTGCGGATTTGGTGATTGGAATCCCGTCGAAACAGCTCTCCTTCTTGGTGCCCTCACCGAATACATGACGGAATTTGGAAGCACGGACAAAACGGGACATGATGGAGAAATGCTTTTGATTGTGGCTCACAAGTGGATTGCTGTATTGGAAACGGAAAAGTCTGGAAGTGGATGCGGCAAGTGTAAAGTTAATATACGCTCAAAGAAAACGATATTTGAGCGCTGCCGGATTGCGGTGATAGCCCCTGATATTATTTTGGGTTCAATCTGAAGCGATGTTTGTTTTTGTGAATCAAAAAATTCGCACATATCTGAAAGGGTAGAGCAAAGTGTATTCATTCAAATCTATTCGATTTGAATAAACCGTTTCTGTCCTATATACTGTAGGGGCCTATAAAATTTATTCAGTTAATATTTATTCACAAGTTGAAACGATGAGCCTATCTCATTCGCTCTAAATTTCTGATATGAGACTACATAATATAAATAAAGTGACACATACTCTCACAGGGGGGCTGGGTTGGTGGGAGCGGTCTGGAGTCTCCCAGCCTGGAGTCCCTGGACCTATTTCCCCGATTTTGTATGTTTGTATTCTTTCCCAACAACATCAACAACATATGCATATATCCATTCGCTCGCAGTCGCGTGAGCCATATATCAATTCTGAATCTACCAGACTACCAACCTATTTGCGTTCCCAATTATGTGTCAAATCGAGCAAACAAAGTGTTTACTCAAACCAAACATAGTGTTTTATACTCAAACCCAAACATAGTTTTTACTCAATCAAACATAAAGTCTCAATGAAACAGATATAATAAATCAGATACACATTCGTATGTATAGTTCTAGCGATATGCTGTGAAATCTTTGAGAATATCCGCATACCTCATGATGTATGTCAGTTCAATATCAGGTCCGAGACAAGTATATTGTTTGGTGTGTAAAGGGAGTCTGACATATCTCTATATGAAACGAAATACTCGAGTCAATTTGTGCATATTAAAATATTTTGGTGTTAACGTTATGAAAATTCTGTTGCTTTGGAAGAGATGCATATATATATGCCTCCCTCTCTCACACACGCTCTCTCTCTCTCTCTCTCTCTC